TGTCTTTTGTTAAAGTTTGTCTTTATCAGTATGTCACAAGAGGTTATTCTTTAAAGTTTACCCTTTCGTTTATTTTTATACTCTGGATATCTAAATCAGTGTGTCTGTGTTTACTAATCAGTTATCGCGAATCCCACTTGCATTTTTTGCAAACAGTTTTATTCTTAAAATAACGTCAATATAAGTTTATTTTTCCTATTAAAGAAATTATTGAATTAAACTATGAGAAATATAAAAAAAATATTTTTCAATTTTCTTTTTCATTTCTTTAAAAATGGTGATATTGAATAGATTTTTTGTTAGTTTTTTTAAATATTGTGATCTTAACTTGAGTTTAGGTTAATATTTTTGATGCTTACATTAGGTTAATATTTAACTTAAAAATGGAAAACACTCTCGCAACAGCCAGGGAGATTAAGACTCTACAATTTCGAGATGCCACCCACGTGATCGTTTCAGTGTGGTCGGCAGTGTGCATTGACCGCCTTTACCGCCATCGGGAATAAAAATCAGTTCTTCACATTATAAGCATATTGCTACGCTACGCCTTCATGACTCACAATTTTAGCATCAGTAAGGCTGATTTAACAAGTTTTTAAAGAAATATTAACTGAATGCATACTGGAACAGGGTTTTGTTTAAACCAAGTTTTTACTTTATTAATTTTACGCACTGGTTTTTTCCTCAAATTTTTTTAGCATTTTTTATATCAAATAATTTATTAACCGAAATTTCCAAGTTTTGGATGTGTTAAACCAAGATAGAGTTGTGTAATATGCTTCACGAAGGGTCACATTGTCTAAACAGACGTTAAAATTCTGATTTTATTTATTTTTATTAGTATTTTTTTAAAATTCTTTCTCTATTGATTTATCAATATTTGATATGAATACTTTTACACTTTTTAGTAAAGCGTTATTAATTTATTATCAATTACTTTTATGAGCATTACATTTATGTGAATAAAAAAAAATTCGATGTTCTTAAGGATTTTAAAAGAATGCTATTAGTATTCTGTATAATTTTCATAATTTAGTATGTATTTATTGCAGAAAGAGGTAATATTTTAAAAATATCTGCAGGTTTTGCTAACATTGGTGAATTTTTTTTAAAAGTGAAAGTTTTTTTTAGTTGGCTTTGAAATTTAAAGCGTGCACTAAACGAAATTCAGATTCTGGACCCATTTTTACCATAGCTTCCACGTTAGAATTCTTTCTCAAATTATATTTTAAGTTGGTTTTTAGATATACCTAATTGAGAAACTGTAATGGCCATTACACAACCGTCACATGCTACATGTATGAAAACGCAATAAAAAAATATTTTTTTGAAAATTTTCTGCGTATATCCTTCTTAAACATACTGCCATAATTTAGTGATTATGTCTGTTTTTGCTTACAATTAACTGACAATTTTTTAATAAAGCTGTAATTAAGTATAATTTATAATTACTTTTATTTCATTTATTACAAAATTTGTGGTATTTAAATGTAATGGTTGAACTTTTTAACCACGACTTCTTCAATTTCTCAACAAAAAAAAGTACATTAGTATTAAGTTAAGTAAAAAATGATGTATTTTGTCATTTTCCGATTACGAAATGTGTTGAACCGAAAAGAATAAGAGTTGAATTAGTTTCATGATGCCCACCCATAGATAAGCCTCTATCTTTTAAATATTTGTGTTGATAACAGTTGTATTATCATGACTGATCTTTGAAATCTCTGTTGTAAGAAGTAAACATCGATTTGCTTTATATTTGTTATATAGTTCCAGGGGTCTGTTTAGAAGAAATTGGGGTCCGTTAACGGACCCTTCACAAAATATCTTTTCATAAAAATGGACCCTTCGCAAAATATTTAAACTTAAAAACGGAACCTTCACAAAATGATTTTTCTATTAATCGGACTCTTCACAAATTTTTTTATCTTCATTATTGTTTTGTTAATTGAATAAACCCTTCCCATGGCAGAAAACAAGAAAGATGGATGTAAAAAAATTAAGTTTTGTCTTCGGCAGACGATTCTTCCATTAATCGTCCGAAATGAATATTTTGCGTTCAGCAGTATAGGCTAAATACCAAATATTTGCATGTTGCATCTCTAATTTGGAAGCAGCAATTGCTGTTTATTTTTAAAAATTTAATTTTTTTATTTATAATTTTAGAATGCTGAGCATAATCTTGTTTAGATTTACTACTTAAAAACTCCTTGAAAAAGTTTTTTGCAATAACCGGACCCTATTTGCACGAATTCATAAAAGCAGGACCCTGGTTGAAGGAATGTGAATAATTTTTTCACAATTTTACGAAAATATGACCTTTTACAAAATGTCTGGACAGACCCCTGAGTTAAAAAAAGGGGGTAAAAATTGGTATTTCTATTTTTCTAGTATTTATAAACATTTTATTCCTTTTCTCCCCCTCCCCTCGACCGGAGGGTCAACGGCATTGACGAGGATTTCGAATATCAATGCCAAAAGGTTATTTAAATGAAATTCAAGTTTTTTTTAAAAAAAGTAATTAAAATAGCTTTTCTATTGTTTTCAATAAGAACTAATAGTTTATAATTCTCTCTTTACAAATTTTTTCCAACATCTTTACCTCAAACGTGGGAAGACGGTCTAGAAGACGGAAGTATATTAAAAAGAAGTATATTATTATACAGCTAGTATATTAAAAAAAAAAAAATCGAAGTTTCTCAATTATGTATTACTATTGAAGTCTTCTACCGTTAGAAAAGCATACCATAAAGCATTTTATTTTTTTCGCGTAAAGTCAAAAACAAAAACTTTTTCCTCATTGAACGCAAACAAACTCATTCACTATGTATCTTTTCTATTATGAGAAAGGCATTAGGCGTTTTAATCTAGATTCATTAAGTTTATTGTTGAGAATGCGATATTTATTGAAGTCTAAATCTCCCAATTTTCTTCCAGGCGTTTTAACTTTTTAGTGTGATACGAACGATAACAAAAGAAATATTATTGGTTTAACCCTTAATTGTGTTGTTTTTAGAACTTACTCGAGTTAAGAGTAAACAGCTGTCGTTACGTCGGTAAAATGTCTGAACTTTTGTAGAGATTTCGTCTTTCGTTTTTTTTTTTTTTGTGTGAATTCAAGTATCGTAGAAAAGAATTTATTCAATTTATCATTGTTTGTAATTTTATTATCGAAAATCAAAAATAATAATTTTGATTTTTCTTTCAGAAAGTGTAGAAGATTAATTTTTGAGCTTTGTCATTTAAATAACTCATAACTTTCTTTTATTTTAAAGTAGTGTAATTAGAGTTGAATAAAATGAAAATTTTCTACCGCATTTTATGATCGAAGCAAATAGGTCCGTTTCGAAATTTTTGCGAAGGATTTTTTTGTTTCGCATTGAAAATTAAAGATAGCACAAAAATTAATATAATCCAAAACAAGAAATTCAAACCTTTGGAAAAATGCAAATTGCACTCCTCATAGCAAGTGGTAATAAGTTTTAAGAGGCAGCTAATTGAGAAAGACTTAGAGCTAGATTTACCTTAGATCATTATGTTAAATAAATTTTATTGAAAATATCCACGGAGAGAGATAAAAACGTGCTATCTCAAATGAGTTTTTATTTAATTAATATACATTTTAAAGATATCTGAAACTTTTTGAAAATTTTTTTAGGGAGACAATTAAAGACCCTCGAAAATCAGTTGGTCAACTTTCTTCCTCCAAAAAAAGTAATGGTTCACGAGATTTAATATGTTTTTGTAGGTGGTCCGTAAAAATTAAAAAAGTAGTGACAGCTGATCTAGATAAATAAGTTATTGTTCCCTTATTTTTTTTCCAGCATAATTAAGGCCTCACACCAATTAGGTATTTTTTTCTTATCTTTTCACTTATATAANTTTAATTAAAATCCTGTGTCTGTTTTCCTGCTCGGTCCGACTGCATCATTTTACATATATATATATATATATATATATTATAGTGCATATTACCCTTAGGGCAATACTGCACCTGATAGAATGAATAATAATATAAACTACTTGTTATAACTATGAAGAAAAAAAAGTAATTTTATTTAAGATTTTTTTTAATTTTCATCAAAGAAATTTTTTTTTAACAGTTAGATATTCAAAATTCGTAAATATATTTTAAAAATTGTGCCTATATTCTATATTCAATACCAGAACTGTGATAGAATGTTTTTATTGATTTTAGGCTGATTAAATAGATGTCTTTTCTGTATTACCTCTGTAACACAAAACTTTTTTTTATTTAAAAATTTTCTTTACCACTCAAAATAAAGTTTTGCTTATTGTTTTAAAAATGAGTTTAGATATTTATTCATTTATGTTGTAAAATATTCAGAACTCTACATTGCAATTAATATGATATATCAAAGAAGAAAAAATCTTTCTCAGAAAGTGCTTAAAATTTTCCTTGTTACAGTACTTTTTATAGTACAGTACTGATATGGATTTGGAAAGTTGGACAACTTTTTTTAAAAGCTGCTTTATGTGAATGTTATTAAGTAATTTTTCTTTATGCTTTTTCCAGGCTTAGGACTGGCAATTGTTGTAGTGACCAGCGTACTGAAAATTAAGTGCTCAAAATATTTATTTTATTTATTATTTTTTTTTTTTGCAAAATCAACCAACAAAATGTGTTTTAAAACTGAGAGAAAGCATTTCAAAAAAATGTTTCACCTCTTTCTAATTCTTGGATTCTGAAAATGATAAAGCATTTTTGCAAAAAAATGTTTTTTTTTCCTATTTGGAGAAGGCGGGGAAAAAGCACAGGAACCTTAACGGATCAGGATAATTAGACATGCCAGTAAATCAGTGTTGTACGTAGATGTACTTAGAATTAATTAACTTATTACTTATTTAGCTAATTAAAAAACTATTTTTTCAAATAAAATTTTTTAGTGTTAACTAATTATGTAGTTACATTGTATATTATTTTATCTAAAGTTTAAGTATATATTTATAACTGAATTTTTATTTTAATTCTTCCGCAGGTGATACAGTATTTGTACAGGGTGCTGCTGCTACTCCTAGAGTTCTAGTACCAGCATTAGCAGAACATGGTAAAAAAGCTAGTCTGAAAAATGTGACTGTATGCCACATACATACTGAGGGAGCAGCAGAATACAATCGCCCGGAATATGAAGGTATTTGCTAGTATTTACACTGAGTGGCTTTTATATTATGATCACTCCCACAATATTGCATTTGACCACCTTTTAGCTTTGATATAGCTTTGATTCTTCTACCAGATGTTGATAAGTCATTTGTGGCAAGTTTATTGCACTTTATATTTGTGTGAGAATAGGTGGTTATGCATCTAGATAAGGGATGGACAAACTGCGGGCCAACGTTGGAAGGTTTTATCTGGCCCGCGGATAGAATTTTAACTTTCCGATCCATAGAGAATATGAACAATATACATCCATTTTCTTGTCTACTTTGTTTAAAGCTATATTTGTTCTTTCTTTTTTAACGAACTACTGATGACCCTTTTACTTACTCTATTTTTGTTCTACAAAACATAAATTGATGGAAATAACTAGCACTGATAGCTTCAACTGGTAAAATGTTGAAAGCAGAAGTTCTTTATAAAATCGCCGTAGATTGGTACATCTGAAGCAGTTGTTTCTAAATATGCCAAAGTTTAGGTTTTACAAATCATTACCAAATTCAATATTTCATGCCCAGAGGTTTTTACTTAGCCCCTCAAACTTTTTTTTACCATCCACCAAGAAAGTTTCCCCATCCTTGGTCAAGATGATGGATGACTCTAATGCAATCATGCAAATACCCAATAAAATTGATGTCTGGTTATTGTGGTGGCTCACACACCAATGATAAATCTTTGTGTTCCTAAAATCTATTACAATACTAATTGTATGGTGGGATACATTTTTTTTTTTTTAAATTCCCCTTAGCATTTGGATAAATCTTTAACAAAGATATCTAAAGGGCAACACTGTAATGCAATAGTTAATTTGCGTAAAACTGTCAGGTAATCATAATGAAATGGCCACTCAGTGTATGTTACTTACAGCATTTATTGCCTTATTAAATTTTTTCAAATTATTATTGCATTACATTTATTCATTTACATTCTCAATATTATTTATTGCTAATAAGTTAGGTACCTTCCATTCTTAATATGAATGTAAATGTATCTGAGGATGTTATTTTTTACTCGTTTCTTGCATGATTACAATAACAAACGACTGTTTAAGGTATATAGGGTAATACATATACATTGTTTCCAAGAAATATGGACACAATGTCAAAAGTTTGAAACATTTTCAAAAGAGACAATCTGTTACACCAAACTGTACCCTCAATCAATCAAAGTGGGGGGGGGGGAATAAGTTTTAGTCATTAGATAGATTTTTTTCAAAGAATAAAAAATGTCCATTTTTATTGTTTTAAAATGGCAACTACCTTGATTTCATGTTGCAATTTCACCACCATCTGTGAATCAATATACAAAAATCTATAAGTTGAATTTTGGTACTTTTTTTTCTGAAAAATCCATATCTGTAATAAATAAAAGTTCTTATTTTAGATTTTGCAGTTTGAAATGAGTTTTGAGAATTGTTTATCATTCAATGCATCTTTTGAAAATATTTCACATATTCTTAGGTTTTTTAAGTGTTGCATATTTATGATAACTGATGGTTTCGATACTTTTTGGACATTCTATATCTCAAAATCCTTTGAAAAAATATGACCAATGATATCAGTATTGGTTTTAAATTGTCCATTTCTCTCGAACGTCAAATACCTTGCTTATTGAGTAAAATTTGCACTATTGCAGGATGTTTTTTAAATGTTGAAATAATAAATAAAGTGTGGTGTGTTATTTTGCGTTTTGTTTGTTATTGCTAACTAATCTCTATCATAGGCTATTAATTTTTGTGATGAATGCATTACTCTTATTTAATGAATTTTAGGAATCTTTAGAAGTGCTTCCTTCTTTACTGGGGCCAATTCACGAGAAGCCATTAACTCGGGAAGAGGAGATTTCATTCCAGTTTTCTTGAGTGAAATTCCACTGATCTTCCACAAAAAAATTCTTCCTGTTGATGTAGCCCTGGTTCAAGTAACACCTGCAGATGAACATGGTTTTTGCAGTTTAGGAACAAGTGTTGATTGCACACGAGCAGCTCTGATGCATGCAAAATATATTATTGGTAATTCTGTTTATATTAAAATTGTTTCTGTGCATAATTATGTTTAAAATACTTCAGTTGAGTTTTTATTAACTTACCGCTATTTTGTTTTTATTGATTTTTGAAGTTAAGTCAATGTTTTTTATGAAAATATGGAATTAATCTTTAAAATCAAAATATAATTTTCAATCTTTAAAATATATTATTTTTGTATGTGTAATCACTTTTTATTTGTAGATTTTTCTACATGTATGGCTTGGTTAAAATGATTTTTTACTATAAAAATATCTAACTGTGTTAAGGTTGCTGGCAAATTTAGATTTATGAAGATAATGCAGCAGATTCATGCTTTAAATTCTGCTACTGGGCTTATTTTATTTATTAGAATAAGTATGAAGCTCACTATATATTTTTAGTCCTTTTCATCATTCCATTTTTTTGAATACTTTTTTAATTGAAGAAATATATTACATTAAATTTTTATAGTTCTTTAATTATATTAAAATTTGTATTGATTCAACTGAAAATATTCACTTTATAAAGTTGCATAATGCTAAATAATATTAAATAATGCTAAAATATGACAGTTTTTTTGTATACTGATAAGCAAAAGGAAACTTACTCTTTTGCATGCATTACTAATACATTATTTATATGTTACATTTCTTTTTTTTTTTTATGTTAAGTGGAGCTGTAAATTAATGTTAAAGCATATTAAAAATCTTCAGTTTTTTTTTCAACCTCTTTGGCATATTTATGGAGCAAAAGTGGATAATTTTAAATTATTTAATGAAAAAAAAAAATTATTAGTTAGAAAATTTTGTAACAAGTATTTTTTTAATGGTTTAATTACTTTTGACATAGGATGTAGAACATAATTTAACCTTTTTTAAAATGAAGTGACGTGTTTTCGTTTAAACTTTTTATGAATTTGGAAATTAAAGGATGCCAAAATTGTAATTCGAAAAATGCTAAATAATGCAATTATATATTGCTGGTATAGTATTTTTTATATTTTAAATTGGCTAGTATAGTATTATATAGCTGGTATAGTATTTTTTTTATTTTTTAAATTAGCTTTTATGTGTTTTTTTAAGTTGATCAATTCAAGTCAATTCGTCATTCAAATTGAAATATTTTAATTTTTTAACATTTTTAGCATCATAAAATACATTCTTAATGTTTTTCCCCCATTAGAATGAAAAGATTTAAGTTCATGATTAATGCCTGTAAGTTCGATCTTTTTTTCCCTTGTTATTTATTGTTCTTTTCTTGTTATGAGATCCGCCTTTTTTTTTCGTTTTTTTTTGCAAAAGTTTTAGTCATTTGTTTTCAAGAAAATTGCTAATCTTATTTTTTTTCAAAATCATAAATTTGGATTAAATATCAATAAAGATTTGCCGAATATAAATAAACTATTGGCATAAACTTCTTTTCATAATATCTTTTTTGTAAATATTTTTCCATTGTTTACTACAAAATCTGAAAATGAACGACAACAAAGTTTTAGGGGCACTATAAGAATTGAAGAAGGTGGCATGGAAAGTAAAAATACAGCTTTTAAAAAAAAAATTTTGTGGACTTATCAACAATAAAGTTGAAGACATTCCAAATGACATATTTAAATCTTTTTTTCTCGTCATTTTGCCCTATTTATAATATCTTGAAATATACTTCAGCAACATTTTATTGAGTTTTATTCTTAAAAGTTTGTTTGTCATATTAAAGAGTAATAATTCAAAGTGTTGAAATATGCATCTTTTTATTTTAGTTAACTATTTTCATTGCTGTGCCCTTTACACGTACTAAATGAACTTTTCAGTTTCAAAAACAGTATCAATATTTGGAAAAATATTATAATAGAAAAAAGTTGTATTTTGAACTAAATAGTTTATTTTGTAGTTCTGTTTTTTTAATTGTGTAAATTTTTTTCTGATCTCATTAATTTTGAAAACTCTAGGCCAAGTTAATCCTCGCTTGCCTCGAACATTTGGAGATGCAACCGTGCACACTTCTCATTTCGATGCTTTAGTTGAAGGAAAAGCGGAATTGCCTGAGCACAAGCCTGATGTTCTGACTGAAGTTGAACTTAGTATTGGTAAACAGATAGCTGAAAATTTAGTTGAAGATGGAGCCACTATGCAAATGGGTAAGGTTTTATTTCTGTTAAAAGATTCACTAAAATTTATCAACTTGACCAAATGTCTAGGTTGACATCCATTACTAAGAACCCAATTTATTTTACATAATTATAAGAGCAAGAGCTTTGTGTTCTGACCACCTGTTTATCTTATAAGTTGATTTTTGAAATATTTAGAAGTGTTACTGAATGCTGACAAAAAAAGAGAACTTACTAGAAATTTTTTTATGCTATATTATGTACTAGAATTTCATTAAATTATTAAAATGGCATTGGGAGCTGACATGAATAGGTTTGTAAGTTGACCAGATGGAAAAAAAACCATTTAACACTTTGTAAAAATTGAGTTATAAGTATATGTAATATTAAGTATTAAAATGTTAAAATATTATTTTAAGTAAGTTACTTGCATACTGCTACTATACTTGCATACTTTTTAGAAATCATTTATAATAAATATCTGGCATACATCACTAACAAAATATGCATTTTTTTTTCTAATCAGTTCACTATGAGATTTTTGTAACAAATTTTAATTTTTTTTAAATAATTAAAAAATTTTTCAGACCCTATTCAAATTGATCACAATCAATGCTAAATTATGATCAATTGCTTGATTATAATCAAGCATTAGCTGTATACTTTTTACCTAAGTATTCTGGCTATAAATTCAAACTATAGGTGCATAGTATCAGTAATTTATATATTTTCATCTCAACTCTTTCACTAATCAATAAAATATAAATTTTTTTTTTTGTTTTTTTTTGTTTTACTAGTAAGTAATGTTAAAAGAAATGGTTTATAGAAACTTAATTAAAAAATTTAAAATTATTTTTGTAATCAAAGTTTCCATTTTTAATTTTCTTAATCATTGTGTTCTTTCATTAATGATTTAAATTCATGATTTTTAAGAAATTGAAATTGATAGATAATATCATGTTTTAAGTTTCTGTTTTTAATCAGTCGATTTAATTAAAAAGATTTACTTTTTTTAAAAAATAGGTATTGGATCTATACCAGATGCTGTATTAGCTAGTTTAAAAGGCCATAAGGATTTAGGAATTCATTCTGAAATGTTTAGCGATGGTGTTGTAGATCTTGTTAATCTTGGGTGCATCAATAATAAATATAAAGCTTTATATGCTGGGAAAATTGTTGGCAGTTTCACAATTGGAACTAGGAAATTATTTGACTTTATGCACAACAATCCATTTGTTGGTATGTATTTTATTTCTTCAAATGTATTTTCAAATAATAACTGAAATTGGCCTAATGGTAAAATAATTCATTTAAATGTAAGTTTTTTTAAATTAATAAATGGTCTGAAATAAGTTATAAATCTTCTAAAATAGAATGCTTAAAGATTTAATAAAGAATATTTTAAACCTTTAAACTTCACTAATATCTTTTTAAAAAAAAACTCGTATGATAGAATGTTTCTATCTCATTGCAATAAATTATAAAATTAATTATAAAAAATATTAAAATTGCAGTAATTTGCAGTTGAATTTGTACATAAATTATTTTTAGTTATTTCATTATTAATATGTACATAAATTTTATGAAGTACCTACTCCAAATAATTTTGCCAAATAAATGTACTCCAAATAATTTTGCATATAATATTCAAATACATACATTTATTATATAATATAATTTGTGTACATCATATTCTACTGGAACTTTTAAAGTTTATTTGAAAATTTAACTGAGGAGAGGTGTTTTCAAACTCAACTCTGTTTTAAAATATATTCGTAAATTTATCTTGTATGGAAAATTATGTCTCAACATATCCCAACAAATGATCATTTATAGTTATATAATTTGTGAATAATTATGTATAGTAAAAATGAAGTATAAAATATATACATCAAATTGTTAAAACATAGTATATTCTTTTAAATGTTTCCTCTAGTGATGCTTGAAGTAGACTATGTTAATCATACCGACAACATTGCCGTGAATCCTAAAATGACTGCCATTAATTCCTGCATTGAAGTTGATCTAACTGGTCAAGTATGTTCTGATTCCATTGGAACAAGAATTTATTCAGGTGATGTGTTACTCATTTAAATAGTTACATTCTGTTTATTTATAATGATATTATGAATTATAAGAGTGTTTTTTTAATTTGCACTATTATTGTTTATATATTGTAGTTGATTGATATTTGCTTGGAAACTATTTATATACTAGTACGGCATATTTTGATTAAAAACAATTCTATATATTAGAAATTTATTGGATGATAGTTTAAAGTAATAAATTTTAGATTTTCCTGAAAACATATCTTATTTAAGAATTCAACATTAACAGGGTTATAAAATTTTGGCAATCTTAGTGAATAAAAGTTCTGTCCCTGACTGTTTTGGAGTGGAAGAATATGCTAAGTGCATTTAGCTTCAGGCTGTTTTCTATAATCAAAAGTTTTTTTTTTTTTTGACAGCATGTTAAATCACCAAGAGTATTAAATGGAAATGCTAATGGTTGAAATTAGTAAATTTTTTTTTTTTTTTGTATTCAGCAGGAAAAGTGTAATATTTAAAAATGATCTCAAGAATGTCAAAAATAGAACTGCATGCTCAATACACTTATTATAGTATTAGGTATTTTTAAATAAAATAATTTATATAAATTGATTATCTGAGCAGCATATACATATAACAATATTCAAATACTTAATTTTTTTTAATGTGCAGTAATTTGTCTGTATTAGGAACATTTTGATTTTTATTTAAACAAAGCTTGACCAGTTTTACATGTTAACGCAATGTATTAAAGTTTTCATCTCTTAAAATGTAGATGTGGAATTTAATTGTCTCTTAGCTGTGTATCAGGATTATTTTGCATTTTCATAAAATAACAAAATTTCAAAAATTACCTTTTCTTTTTTCCTGCTGTAATTCTTTTATTTTTTCTAATTAGGTAAGCTAATGTTATGTTTGGTTTATTGTGTAGGTGTTGGAGGCCAAATTGACTTTTTACGTGGAGCTGCCATGGGTAAAGATGGAAAAGGCAAACCTATCTTAGCTATGCCTTCTCTCACTAGCAAAGGAGAATCTAAAATTGTACCATTTATTAAGCAAGGTAATTAACATTTTTCCTATGGTAATGTTAACAATACCATAAATATTGAAGTATCACTGTGATAATTTTATTTATTATAGGATTCTGTGAAAATTTGAAATTTACTGTTTTAAATTTATTAAAAATCAAAAAATTGTGATGTAAATAACATAAATTAACATTTTGTTTAATATTATGAACCCTTTAATTGAATTGTAATGAAACCTGTAATTAAAAAAGAAATGTATACCATTTTTGCAAATAAATAAATAGATCATAAAAAAAAATGGAAGTTTCATTAACAAATTTAACTTAGTAATTTAAAGTCTTAATTTAAACATTTTTCTGTTGCAATCATAAGTAACTCTTATAAATGCATGTATAACAGTCGAAACTTTTTTCATGACATTTTAAAGTCAGTTTTTGCAAGTAGTTATAACTGAATTGGTTTGATTTGAACGTTTACATTTGAAAACACTGTATACAGTTAACTAAAGTATGGAGTTGTTTGTTTTCTATGATTGGCAATAGTATATCCTAATTATACCCAAAATAAGATATAGTTCCAAAAGTACAAAGTTGTAGCCTGTAAATAATTGTTGAATAAGTAAAAAGTGAGTTTACTTCAAATCCATAACTTATTCTTAGCAGAGTTTTAAATACCATAATATTTTACACAATCATGTAAGTTAAGGCAACATACAAGATATTTCTGGTAGTTCCGTAATTAAAGAATAAAGATTCAATATTGTTTTTAGGTTTGCGAAGACTTTCTTAACTTAGCATTTTCAAATATTTCATTTTCTTTACTGTTAAGTTCATTTAAAAATATCTAGGGCTTTTCAGAAATCTATTAAAAGATTTATCTTATTGAATGATCGAGTGAGTGATGATCATTAACATTGATTGACGATAGACATTTTATAACTTTCCCCATTCATAAACAGTTTTCCTCGTGTTCCCTCATCATAAACTTTTAACAGGGTGAATAGCGTTTTAAAAAAATGCTTAAAGGTGCTTATTTTTGATTTAAGTTTTTTTAAAAGCCCTTAAAGGTGTTTTTTTATTCAGGGTTTGTAAAAAGAGCTTAATTTTCTATCTTTTGAGTTTTTTTTCTTTGCCGTTCTGATTGTTGTTCAAAATTACAAAAAAAGCATGTTTTTCATAATTTTTGCTGCAATATTTATCAGAAACCAGTTATTTTATCTGATATGTAAAGTTTTTAAAATTTTTTTGAATTTTATGTTTATAAATGAAGAACTTTAAACAACAATAGAAAAAATAATTTTATTATTGCACAGATCCTATTTATGACTTTTTTTTTTAGAAAGTGACTAAAAATATTTGATTGCTGTAAATGTACTTAAAAGGTACTTATTTTTTGTTGAAAAATCTGGCTGCGCACCCTGTTTAACTCTTACCCTTTAATTTCACAAAAAAGTTAAATCTACTTCTGTAACTTCATTCTGTTTGTTCACAGTGTGCAAAATGAAATTTGTTAGTTGAAATTTTAAAAAAAGCAAAAAAGTTAATTATCCTGACAAGAAAAAGTAAAGTTTTTCATTATCAAAATGTATATCTAATAAAAATTTCATTTTACAAACCAGCGATAATGATTTTGTTAAAGATTGTTTTACCATTTTTTGATATTGTAATGATTTCATTCTTGCAGATATGATTTTAAGAAGTGCCTGATTTTATAATCCAGTGATTTTATGAGTGGCTGTCACTTCAGTACTTACAGTAAAGTCCCGATTATCCAAATTTCTGGTTTAACTGAGCTATGAAATATTTCAAGGATTATTTTTGTTCTAGTTTATTTTTTATTTTTAAAACTAACACTGAAAATATCAAACAACTTGATCCAATGAAATGATCATTAATTATGAAAATTAATCTAGAGAAGATGATAAAGACAGTGACAATGAAAATCAACAAATAAAAATCTCTCATACAGATGGACTAAAAGTTATCGAAAGTGCTATTGAATATATGGAACAACAGGAAGAGGCAACACCAGCCCTCCTGTCGTAAAGCGCCTAAGTAATGTAAAACAAAAAACTATTGCGGAAAGTAAAAACTCTTTAATTATTGTAAAGTATGCACTTTAAATATTCTTAAGTAAGCTTTTTAATTATATTATGAATTGTATGTGGTGTACTCGTACAAATTTAGTATTTGTAAATTATGACATTTATTCCTACCAGGGTGCGTAGCGTTTTTAAAAAGTGCTTAAAGGTGCTTATTTTTGATTTTCGTTTTTTAAAAGCCCTTAAATGTGCTTTTATTCGTTGGGTGTTTTTANAAAGTTTTTAAAATTTTTTTGAATTTTATGTTTATAAATAAAGAACTTTAAACAACAATAGAAAAAATAATTTTATTATTGCACAGATCCTATTTATGACTTTTTTTTTAGAAAGTGACTAAAAATATTTGATTGCTTGAAATGTACTTAAAAGGTACTTTTTTTGTTGATTTTTGCTTCGAAATATGCAAAAAGACACAGTTCACATTGTTCTATTCAACGTTTTCACAATTAATTCAACCCCAACCTATTTCGGCGTATTGTCAGCGTATGAAAGTGCCATTCGTTTTACATGATTCAAAATTTGACTTTTGACAACTGTAAAAAACGATGGCAAAAGGTTTTTTTTTGACATGACGGTTAAAACAAGATAAAACCGTTAATTGTAAAAAAAACTTTCCACCCCTGCCTAATTATATTTTTTTTAAGTGCTTAAAAATATTTGAGTGCTTAAAAAGTCTTTATTTTTTGTTAAATAATTTGGCTATGCACCCTGTCCTACTCTTTCCTTTTTTTATAATCTTTGCTTTAACTGTGTTTTTTGGTTATCCGAGTTAGTCGTTGTCCACATTTAGTCAAATAATTGGGACTCTACTGTACTTACTTTTACTGCCTTTTGAAATTTATAAGTATTTTCTTTAAAATAGGCAAAAAATTCTGTCTTTTACTAAACTTATATATTTTTTCTAGGTGGCGGTGTTGTTACATCCCGAAATCATATTCATTACCTTGTGACTGAACATGGCATTGCTGACCTTTTCGGCAAAAGTATTCGCCAGCGAGCATATCACCTTATCCAAGTCGCCCACCCAAAACACAGAGAGGCACTGGAGAAGGCTGCTTTTGAAAGGCTCAAATGCATGCCATCTCCCTAAATATGTCATTCCTGAAAAACATTATGCTTAACCAATAGTTGTATTAATCAGCATCCACAATGCAGTTGAGTACAATATTTTATATGCCACCAGACTACAGTATTTAAAAAATAGAGATTTTGTTTTAGCGTAATCTATTAAGAGAATTCAGTTTTACCCAATTTGTCATTATCAAATTATGAAATATTTCTTTTAAATGATATTGGTTATAGGAATTTTAAGAGACAGCTTTATTATGCGAGTGTGTTGGGTATTTACGACAGTTTTTATAGTTTTAACTCACCGATATATTTTATGCTATTTGGAGATGGAAATTTGGATGAAGATTGTGATACACTTGATAAATAAACTGGAAATGTCTTGGATTATAGTCCTGTAAAGTAAATTTTGTAATTAGTACTTAAATAATTATTTTTAATGACAGTAAGAGACTTGTGAATTTTCAATGATACTAATGAATTTTATTTTTGTTTTCCAATTGATTTTCAATTGTAAGTTCCCACTTAGTAAGCACAGATGGCCATTATAATGTAATATTGTATGACATTAAATTTTTTGTAAAAATAAATCCTTGTCATTTATTATTTATATGGTTTGATCCATTAACACCAATTTTTCTGATCTCTGTAAATGAAGGGATTTAGGACAATATAATTATTTGGTTAAAAATAATAAAAAAATTACCTGGTTTTCTATCTATGTAATAAGATGTATTAGAGCATTCTGTTTTCATCTAGCAGGAATTTCAGAAACTGAAGTACTGTACATGCCTGCAATCAATATCAAATACAGTAGAGCTCCGATTATCCGAACTGCTCGGGACCAAACGTGATTCAGATAATGAAAAGTTCGGATAATTGGAAAGTTGTTAAATTATTATTATTTATGCACTAACTTCCCTTCACACTTTTTCCAGGCTTAGGACTGGTAGTACTATCTAAAATAGCTGTGGCGTATTTAAAAGTTTTTTCTTTCAATTTTTAAATATTTTTTAATATTTTTTTTTTATTTTGAATTTTTTTTATTTTGAATTTTTTTTAATCATATTTCAGCTTTTTATAATTTTTTTGTCAATTACTGATTTTACCACATTTTTCTTTATTTTCTTTTGAATTCCAACCATTGTAGACCGTCAAAATGAAGCTCGCATTCTTGGAAGATAATTTTCAGTTGAAGAGGGCTGAAGGGGTATGTTGGTATGTAGGTTTACTTGTATAACAATGCATGTATGTATGGCTACTGTAAGAAAGCTGCTAAAAAAGGTTGTAAATTAAATATGGTATTCAGATGTAGTGGACATTATTTATTTTTCTAAATTTAGAAAAAATTTCGATAAGTTAAAAAGTATTCTAAACTTAAAATAAAAAAAACAAATTATGACATAGTTCGTATAATTGGACGTTCGGATAATCGGCGCTCTACTGTAACTGTATAAATCATTTATTTTGAGAAACTATAATAAAAACGTTATTAACTCAAGCACTTAAAATAGTGATTGAGTTGATGTATACGATTCCATTAAGGATTCAAGCAGAGGTTTTCGTTGAGATTTTTCTCTATAAGCTGCTGCTCTAAGCGCATGGGCAGTGTGGTACTGAATCATGGCTGCTGGTCGAGAGTCTTAAGTCAAGGTAAATCTTTGGTTCTACTATCAGTTTATTGAGAGTATTCACTAGTAAGGATGATGCACTGGTCATTGTTGAAATCTTGTATTCACCAATTGTCAAGTTTTAATCTAATAATTGTACATTTTAAAGCACTTTTTTCTCTCATTAGGCATGGCTTAAACAAATTAATGTCAGTATACCTTGGTTATGCCTTATTGTCCTCCTGCACCAAATTACTTAAGATAATGTTCTATTCATTAAAATAAGTTGTCAAAGTTTAGAATGGATTTAATTTTATCGACATAAGACTGTCAAAGCATATCAGGCTTTAAAGAAACAAAATGTAATTTTTTATTTTTAGGGCATTCAATTTTTATCTTATCCAGAGAAGAACAGAAATAAGGAAATAAAATATAGATTATTGTTTCGATTTAAAAAAAAATTGGCCCTGGTAAAACAAAATCATTATTAATAGTCAAATCATGGATTTTTGTTAGTCTTAATTATCTAGCTTTTTGTCAAGTGTCAAAATTTTTTATGACCACTCATGAGAAGATTGTAATAAAACCCTTTGAAAACAGAGAAAAAACTGTCTTTGTAATTTTTTCTCTATGTTTAAAGGTTTTCATCACATTTTCTTCTCAGCTAAAAATATCATTCCAGTTCCATTTTAGTTTTTTTACTGTAACATCCGTGGTTTGATAAAGAAAAATGGGTGTTGTTAATTTTGAAAATGTATTACTCAGGGCTGATTGTGCTCCGGAAAAAGTCCGGATTTTTCGCTAACAGTGATGCGGAAGTTTCCGGAGATAAAAGGTCCAAACGTTTAAAAAAATCATTGATCACAGAAGTTTCTGAAAATCAAGTTTTCAAAGGTGGAACTTAAAAACACAGTTTACTTTATTTGTTTGTAAGGGAGAGAGAGACAGAGAGATACTTTATAAGCTTATATTCATGATTAATATTCATTTTTTATCAGTAAATAGTTGTTATAATCATAAACTCAAAACAGAGAGACATATTTGTAAATTTTAATTACTTCTCCAGGTCATCATAGGTATGTGTAAATGCCATAGGTATGCAGAGATGCCAACTGCTCCGGACACGACAAAATAATTAATAAAGCGGTAAATAACTACTAAGTAAATGTTGCAAATATTTAACTATTTGTGCTCGCTGTTTAATAGGTATAATATGACTTAAGTACCATAAAGTGGTGAATTATATAAGCCTACGAATTATTTAGAAATAGTGGTGGATAAAAATCTACTAAATTGAATACATTAAACCATGAATCACAGTTGTTAAACTACCACTTTAAAATATATATTTGCTGTCCGCAGCAAGTTGGCATCTCCGGGTATGTGTAAAATTTTAAATATGTTTTAAGTAAACTAGGAAATATTGAGAAAAAGGAAAAGAAACCTTGTTTAAATTTTTTTAAATTTAAACTGTTTTGTATTTTATTTTTAATACTGGAAATTTTCCAGAATTTTGACTTGGGCTCACAATCACCCCTGATTACTGTAACCTTGAGAGCTATGTATTCATTTTCGACAGTCTTGTCATTATTTTTGAGTGCATAGATCATAATACCTATGTACGAAACTTTATTCCGTTCATTCGAGTGATATGCTCTTCAGAGTGTTATACTTAAGCTAAGTAATTTTGCGATCACACTGTAAATGAATAATTAAGTATGTGAGTAATAATAAAAAATAGTACATGAATAAAAAGGTATAGAAAATAAACTACCTCTTCCCATTTAAAGAGATTTTGTTACTTTTCCTGATCTCAAATATTTCTATTTTTTTAAAAAAATTATTTATTGCAAATTTTTTTACAAGGTTATAAAAGTGTACTTTAAGAGTAGTGAATAATTGATTTTAAATTGTCTACTCTAATTTATTTAATAACCATAACCTATGAATGTATATGATTATCAGAATTACATGAATATTCTAGTAGAATGTTGTAAAATTTAAAAAATCTAGCTAAAAGTAAAAATCTTAATTTTTAAGTTAAAACAATCTAACTTTTAGTGCTCAAAAATAGTGGTGTATAATATTTCTGACTTGTTAGGCCTCTAATATTAGATAGTGTTAAAATTTATTTATCGTTTTATTTTTTAGTATACTCAATATTTTGTATTCATTCAGAGAAAATTACACAAACACACTTTATTCAGTATTTTTTAAAATTTTTGTTCATTTTAATTGGCCTATAACCCTTTGGTTGCGGCTGGTACAGCATATGTACCGGTAGAAAAAACTTCTTTTATTGCGGCGCTGGATCAACAGTTGTACCGGTGGTTCTCTTCCCCCTTTTCTACTAGACCGTCATCGCTCCTGTCATTTCTTCAAGAACCCCCTGTAATTTGCTCCTATTGTTGAAAAAAGACTTCACGTGTGCTCACTTTCGATTCGAATTGGCTGAAATATTTTTCTCTGTTATTATCAGTTGGCGAGTTTCGAGCTATGAGAATTNATACTTTATAAGCTTATATTCATGATTAATATTAACTTTTTATCAGTAAATAGTTGTTATAATCATAAACTCAAAACAGAAAGACATATTTGTAAATTTTAATTACTTCTCCAGGTCATCATAGGTATGTGTAAAATTTTAAATATATTTTAAGTAAACTAAAAAATATTGAGAAAAAGGAAAAAGAAACCTTGTTAAATTTTTTTCAATTTAAACTGTTTTTTTTTTTTTTAAATTCTGGAAATTTTTTGGAATTTCGACTTGGGCTCACAATCACCCCTGATTACTGTAACCTTGAGAGCTATGTATTCATTTTCGACAGTCTTGTCATCATTTTTGAGCGCATGGATCATAATACCTATGTACGAAACTTTATTCCGTTCATTCGAGTGGTATGCTCTCCAGAGTGTCATACTTAAGCTAAGTAATTTTGCGATCACACTGTAAATGAATAATTAAGCATGTGAGTAATAATAAAAAATAATGCATGAATAAAAAATGATAGAAAATAAACTACCTCTTCCCATTTAAAGAGATTTTGTTACTTTTCCTGATTTCAAATATGTCTACTTTTTTTTAAAAATTATTTATTACAAATTGTTTTACAAGGTTATAAAGGTGCACTTTAAGAGTGGTAAATAATTTATTTTTAAATTAACTACTCTGAATTATTCAATGACCTATGAATGTATATGATTATCAGAATTACATGAATATTCTAGCAGACTGTTGTAAAATCCAAAAAATCTAGCTAAAGGAAAAAAATCTTAAAATTTTTAAGTAAAAAAAAAATCTTAGGGCTCATTTGAGACTTTCTTCTTACAAGGGAAGTGTGACTCGCCAATTTTGAAATAAACTAGTGGGGTGTATGCCTTATGAGGAATGATTTTAGGGGACAACATTCGGTTCGGCCCATAGAAGGTCCTATGAGAGATAAAAAATAATTCAATATATAGAAAAATCGGTATTTTATTACTTCAATGCAGACTATTAGTTATTGTAATTATCTCAATACTCCAATTAATTTGCAAATAATTAGGTAATTAATTAATGTACTAATTAATTATCAAATAAAAAAATTAATTATTAATTGATTTGCAATTTCATACTCCAATTAATTTGAAAAAAAAAAAAAAAATTTGGTGCCATTTTTTTTTTAAAATTAACCTAACGGGCTTTTCTGAAAAACTACAGATATGTAAAATTTTCAAAATCAATTTTGACAATAAATATGCATTATATAGCACTTGAAGTTAGACAGTTTGGTTACTTTCTTTTTGTACTATATTTTTGATTTAAACCAGGTATTAATGATATTGATTAATGTTTTGTGCCCGTGATGGCTCGCCTACCAATAAGGTGAACCTGGTTCGAATTCTAGTGATGGCTGGTCGATACGATCTCTGCACCCGACTTCCACCGTCCATAGTGCTGACGTAAAATATCCTGAATAGTAGATGGATCATGGATTAGA